TTCATTAGTAAAGGCTGTCTGCCTTGAGCACCATGCCCTTTTAAAGAACTATGTGGGATCAAACCAAGAGCAGCTGGGAAGATGAGACAGGAACCCGAGGGGGTGGTGAGTTGATGACAATGGGGGAGGATCAACTCAGAAAAGGAGCGTGAGAATGGTCCCACCGCTAAAAGAATAGAACCAAGGTTCCTGAATGGTCCATATAGAAATTATTAAACTGGCCTATGTTCTCTGGATGTATTCTCAACAGCAATAAGATATAAGTCTTTGTTAAATAATTGGCTCATTTGGGTCAGAAAAAGGTAAGTCCTAACCCCCTGCCCACCCTGCGACTTCCCTCCACACCCTGGGACTGCTTGGGGCTGTACCTCCATGTGCAAGGTGTGGTGGGGCATCCTGGGTTAGACGTAGGTCATAGTGCTGTCCCTCTCACCACCCCATGACCTCCCTCAGCACTCTGGGATTGCTCAGGGCTGTGCCTCCATGTGCGAGGTGCAGTGGGGCATCCAGGATTAGACGTAGGTCACAGTGAGGTCCCATGAGCCGTGAGAGGGATCAAGGACATGGGACCTGTGTGATGAAAACGGGAAGTTGACTGGAGTTGGTCACCAGGTGCCCACATCACTGAGGGTCTTGCCTGTGTGACACCTGCACCCTGCCCCCAGGCTTGGAGCTGGGACATAAGGGCAAGAGGGAGAAGGAAGGTCACTGGAGGCCCTGTAGGTGCACACCACCCTCAGGATGGAAGTCTTTTCACAAGTGGTGTGTGTGGGTATGTGTATGTGTGTGTGCATGTTTGTGTGCACGTGAGCATGTGTGTACACACAAGCATACATGTGCATGCAATGTGTGTACATCATGTTGTGTGTGGTGTGTGTAGACATGTGCTTACATGTGTGTGCACAACTGCATGTGCATTCATGTGTCATGAGAGCATGCATGTGCCCCCAGTGCCATGGCCTCACAGAAGATGGGCCGCTGGCTCTGCCAGCTTGGGGGCACCATGGCCGCCGTAATCCTTGACATTCTTGTAAGTGTGCCCACACCATGTCTCTTGCCAGGCTATGTTGAGGAGTGCGCCAGGAGCTCATCCGTGGACTACTACTGGTACCGAGAGACTCTCAACATCTCCACATCCATTGACGAGTCAGGCTCCATCCAATGGTGGATCCTGCTCTGCTTGACATGTGCCTGGAGTGTGCTCTATGTGTGCACAATCCGTGGCATTGAGACCACAGGGAAGGTACAGTGGCCACTGTGCTGGGACAGTCTGCCTGTGCTGACTCTGGGTCAGGCTGCAGGGGCTCTGAATGCGAGGGGGCGGGGAGGCAAAGAGAGGATTCACACCTGTTCTAGGTATTGGCTGTAGTACTGAACCTGGCTCTGAGGTCACAGACCCCCTACCACTACCACCGGCCACCTCTGCCCTCAGGCTGGCCTCTATCTGGGAGGAGCCAGCCGGCTACTGTCCCCAGGACAGGTTCACCCACTTGGGAGGCCCAGGGCCTTAGTGCTGGCCATTTCAACCAAAATGCTTTAAAAACCATGCCCAGGGTGGGAATGGAAGAGATTGAATCTTCACATGGGAAACTCCAGACCCAGTCAGTTCAGGAGAAGAGCCAAGTGCAGAGTCCCAGACAAGGGGCTGGTCTGGGAGGGACCCCGGCCCCTGACTCCCCTCCCCACAGGCTGTGTACATCACATCCACGCTTCCATACGTCGTCTTGACCATCTTCCTCATCAGAGGCTTGACCTTGAAGGGAGCCACCAATGGCATCGTCTTCCTCTTCACACCAAACGTGAGTCACATTCATCAGCCCTGGCATCAAGAACTCTGCCAGCAGGGAGAGGGGCAATGCAGAAGGACCAGCCTCCTTGGGGTGCCCTGCACCCTCCTCTGGCTCAAGAGCAGCTCTGTCTGTAGCTGAGAGCAGCCTACTCCCAGATAGTCCCAGGGCTGAGGCAGTCAGTCATCTGGGGCACGGGAGAGTGGCAGACCCAACCAACAGGGCAGGCAGGACCACTTACCCCTGGACCCACCCAGCTGTGGCGTGACTTTGCCCCTTGCTGTGCTATGTGGACAGCAACCCCTCCCTGCACAGGAAATGAATCCATCCACACCCTCAAAGGCTGCTGTCTACCATGACCACTACCCACACGGGCCTTGGATCTGTGCCCCAGCCAGTAGGCCCTGCTCCCCCTGACACACTGTGGCCACCCCTCTTTTGTGGCCATGATAGCTTCATCCAGGAAGAGGCAGGGATGTGGACCACCCCTCCATGGTTTGCCCATGGCCCCGAGATGCGTGGCTTGGTGAGGCAGCACACCGAGCTCCCAGGGCTGAGTGTCTGCTTGGTCCACAGGTCACAGAGCTGGCCAACCCAGTCACCTGGTTGGATGCGGGGGCCCAGGTGTTCTATTCCTTCTCCCTGGCCTTTGGGGGCCTCATCTCCTTCTCCAGCTACAACTCTGTACAGTGAGTATGTGGGACTGAGCCCTGTGGACAGGCACGGGGATTCCCTGTGCCTCAGTTTCCCTACAAAGACAGTGACTAGACAGCATGGGATTCTGCTCTGAGGATGAAAAGAAGGAGAAGATGGGAAGGTCCAGGTAAAGCACAGCTAACCCTGCAAACGCCCATCATCCTGGACATGGCCTGCCAGCCCACCCCATGACCCAGTGCCCATGAGCCAGAGAGTGCAGTGCTTGGTAGGAAGCACAGCGTTAGCCACTGGCTAAGGCACTGTGGCAGCTCGCAAAAAAACAAGTTCACTGCCATCAAGTCAATTCTGACTCACAGCGACCCCCATTGGGTTTCCAAGGTGTTAAATCTTTTGTTGTTGTTGTTATGTGCCGTTGAGTCGGACCCAATTCATAGCAACCCTTCCTTGGGTTTCCAAGGCAGTATCACTACGGTAGATTACCCCACCTTCCTTCCAAGGAGTGGCTGGTGAGTTTGAACTGCCAGCTTTCTGTTAGCAGTCAAATGCCTTAGGCATTATGCCAGTTAAATCTTTACAGAAGTGGATTGCCCTATCTTCCTTCTGTGGAGCTGCTGTTGGGTTTGAACCACCAACTTTCTGGTTAGCAGTGAAATACCATAGGCACTGCACCACCAGAAGTATTTACTATGGCAGCCAGAGGGGCCCACGGACAGCCCGGCATCCCTTCTCCCCAGTGCAGGCAGGAGCAAGCCCTCTCCTCGCCATCCTTAGCTCCTATCTTGGTTCTCAGCAATGCCCTGCTGGCTGGCCCTGATGCCCAGATCTCTACAGTCCATCTGTAGGCCAGAGTCTCAGTATATCATGGCCCTACTCACCAACCTCCTCTGGTTCCCAACAGCCACTGAGAAAGTGTCCAAAACCTCAATGGCTCCCAGGGACCTCCAGGAGGGATGCAATTCAAGTCGTCTCATTTCATAAGTAGTTATTGAGCACCTGCTGTGTGACCAGCCTGGTCGTCAGGCACCCAGACCAGCAAGGCCCTGTCCTCAGGTGGCTCGCTCTCTCTAAGGAGCTGAACGAGCATGCAGAATACACAAACATTGGGTCTGAGGTAGACAAGATAAGGGGACCTGGAAGGGGGTACAGTATTGTCAGTGCCATTTGAGTAGAGACTCAGACGGGTGGAGGGAAGAGCTTGTGCAGAGAAGCCCAGCTCCCCAGGCCAGAGAGGACTGTGCAAACCATGTAGATGGGGCCATGAGCAGGGGTGAGACTGTGATGATTGGTGTGACCTGGGAGGTGAGCAGGGGTGAGGCCGTGAGGGTGGGGCATGAGCTGGGAGGTGAGCAGGGGTGAGGCCATGAGGGTGGGGTGTGGCCTGGGAGGGGATCAAGGAGCCATCGGGGATATTGAAGTTGAAACTCTGTGTGAGGTAGGGCTGAGGAGAGACCTGATCAGATTCAATGATTTAAAAGGACCCCCTGGCTGCCATGGGGAAGGTGCCAGCCGCAGACCCCTGAGGATCTCACTCAGTCGTCTGGCCAAGATAAGGCAGTGGCTGGAGCAGTGGCATTGCGAGGCCCCAGTCCTCCAACTTTCTAGTGCATTGGACAAGACGGAGCCAAAGCTTTGGGTGGAAGTGTCCAGAAGGATGACCTTAGCATCAGCTGGCATGGGGGAAACTGGTTGGGGTTGGGCAGCTGGGGGAGGTCAGGGATTGTCCATTGGAGGCCAGATGGACAGCAGGGTCAGCCATGGCCTGGACACTGCAGCTCTAGGCAGGGTTAGGCGGGAAACTGCTAGTGGTGTCTGCAGAGGGTAGCCATTCCCAGAAGCCCGAGGCGGAATGAGGTTACTGTGAGGGATGGAGGAGGGTGAAAGACCAGAGCATCAAAGAAGACAGAGCAGGCCCGGCGGTGAGGTGGGACCCGGGGAGCAGGGGCCTGGCAGCTGGGAGGCCACAGGCCAGTAGGGAGGAGCAGAGCTGGAGAGGACAGGTCAGGAAGGTGACACACAGGGAGTTTAAGGTGACAATGCTTGGAGGGTCTGGGGAGGTGAGGTGTCAGCTGAGGAAGTGAGCTAGCACCCTAGCCTGTATGTGGTGGGTCGTGGGGGGCCAGCACCGGCATGAGCCCCAGTTAGCACCAGCTGTCCAGCACACCAGCTCGTGGCCAGGATGGGGATTTTAGCATGGGTAGTTTATCGGGGTGCACTCAGTCACATCCCCTGGGCATGTGGGACCTACCTTTGGTTGGAAGTAACCAGAAGCATGACTTTAGCATCAGCCACCATGAGGAGAGCCAGGACCTTGGAGCTGGAGCCTGTTCAGTCCTCCCGAGCCAGGACTTGATACACCGTCACGAACGCGCCGCTCTGGCCACATGCGCTTGGCTCCGTGAAGCCCACTGTTTTCCACCTGGGACCAGCATGAACCCGGGGTCGGCTGGAGGATCAGGAGCTTGGCCCAGCTGCCTTCTTATTAAGAGACCAAGGGTGGTGCAAACGGTGCTCTCGGCTGCTAACTGAAAGGCTGCAGGTTCAAGTCCACCCAGCGGCAACTTGAAGGAAAGGCCTGACAACCTTCTTCTGAAAAACCAACCTCTGAAAACCCTGTGGCCCCCATGGGGCAGCCATGGGTCAGAGTCAAGTTCACAGCAACTGGTTTTGCCTTTGTTTTTGTCCTTGTGTTCAGCAGAGTGCCCATGCCTGCTAAAACCCTCAGGACCCACGCATCCGGACTGGCGGGGTGTTTTTCTTTTTGTGACTTCCCTGTGGCAGGCGGGGCACAGGGTGGTGCCCCTGACACTGAAACAGGCCTACAGGCTCTGGCTCGGAGGATCACCCTGGGACGCGGTGCCCCAGACACCTGCTCTGGAAGCCTCTAGAAGGGGCTGGGCTGGAAGGCGAGGGGACCCTCATCTGGCCTCCCTGCCACTGAGGGCCAGTCCCAATTGGAACCCTCCCCCCTGTGTGCCTCTGAGAGCCAGCCAGCCGATCGCTGGGGGTCCCTCGTGCTTGGGCTCTGTGGCTTAAATTGCTTCCACTGTTTTCCAGACCAAGAAAACCAGCCCCTTGTCCCTGGAGCACACTGAGGGGTATGGAGAGCTGGGGTGGGGGCCATGGAAGAGGTGTCAACCTCGATGACCAGCAGTCAGTGTGGCCCATCACAGGCCCTGGCTGATGGGAGTGAGGCCCACTGTCCCTGGCTTTGCTGCAAAGCCTGTGGGTGCGAGCTGCTCCAGCAGCCCCTGGGCTCTTCCGAGTGGTCTCCGGATCCCCAGGCTGCAGGGTCTAGCATTGTAAGGAGCAAGAGGGGAAAAACCGAGGGGTCACCGGCTGTAGGTGCCAGGGTCCAAGGACATGCCCCCTTGTCCGCTCAGAGTGCCCGGTGCCCAGACAGTGGACAGGAGGGATGGGCTGCAGGCCCCCTGCTAGCACACAAATCGCTCAGCCTCCATCCACTGGCTCTGCAAAGAGATCCGCTCTGGGCGGGAGCGGCAGGGGACACCGGGCCACTGAGAGGACCATAGGAAGTCCTCAGCCACGGCTCAGCCTCGTGGGGCTGCAGTGACACTGCTCTCATCCACAGCAACAACTGCGAGATGGACTCGGTGATCGTGTCCGTCATCAACGGCTTCACGTCCGTGTACGCAGCCACCGTGGTCTACTCCATCATCGGGTTCCGAGCCACACAGCGTTACGACGAGTGCTTCGACATGTAAGCCACCCCCTCGGTGCCACCTGCTCAGGGCTGGGGTCCCGGGCCAGGCAGGAGCCTGGGGCTGGGGGCTGGGGACAAGGAGGAGTCTGGGGCCTCCTGCAAAGCAGACACTTGGGACCCAGGGAGGGACGTCAGCCTTGCTATTTTCCCAGGAACATCCTGACCCTCATGAATGGATTCGACCTACCTGAAGGCAACGTGACCCAGGACAACTTCGCGGAGATGCAGAAGTGGTACAATGACACCGACCCCATGGCCTACGGACAGCTGACATTCCAGACCTGTGACATGAACTCCTTCCTCTCAGAGGTTAGTCTCATTGGGGGATTCTCCCATGTGACTCAGGCCACAGAGAAGGGACATCCTTCACCAGCACCTTCTACTATCAAGCCACTGGTTGGGGTTTGCTAAGGTCACTGCTCTGAATAAGAGTGTCTCAGAAATACCACAATGGGTGGCTTTAAAGAGTCCTGGTGACAGAAAAATAATCAAAATGTGGGAAGTGGGTTTACATAATGGGTGAGGTGGCCCAGTGGTTAAGCATCCTGGCTGCTAACCTTAAGGTTGACAATCTGAACCCACCAGCCCCTCCTTGGGAGAAAGATGAGGCAGTCTGCTTCCAGAGAGATTGACAGCCTTGGAAACCTTGTGGGGTGGTTCCACTCTGTCCTCTAGGAATTCTGTGAGTTGGAATCATTTGACAGCAGTGGGTAATGGGTAGGTGGCTTTGACGAATAGGTATTTATTTTTTCACAGTTCAGGAGGCTATAAGTCTGTGCTCAGAGAACTGACTCTAGGGCACAATTCTCTCCCTGTCGGCTCTGGGGAAGGTCCTTCTCTCAGCT